TCTGACTGTCAGAATACAGGGTTCCCTCTGATGGACTGCATCTATATAGAACGAACCATGGAGAGAAGGAGAAACGAAGTCACCTCAATGAGTAAAAGAATATTAAGGTATTTCCCTGTCTTATTAAAGAAAAAAGTTGAAATAAAGCATAGACATTAAACTTCTAACTTAGTTTACTGGTTAGAATGATGGAATTTATGTTCTTGTTGGCCACATCAAGATTGAGATAATGTGATGATCATTAAGCTGATGTGATGATCATTAAAAAGACAATAATTATTTGCAGTGAGAACTGAGTGCAATTTCAGGAATCTGCCTTAAACAAGCTGAGTATTTGCATGGAATCAATATACAAGCACCTCACCTAGTGAAATGTGTAAATGAAGTACCAACACCAATGAATTTCCAACCCCAGTGAATGTGGATCAAACAAAATCAAATCAATTGAGAGAACAAGCTTTAGAAATCATACAATGACAGTCTTTTTGAACACATAATGCTGTGCAAAATTCAAGAAAGCAAACAGATGTTCAAATCCCTTTCCCTTCTTTCTTCTAGTGTTTGTTTTAGCATTTGGGAGAGACTTTCTTGTATTGCAGTTTGATTACATGAGCATTTTGTAAACTTCCAGATGTGTTCAAATGTTTTAATCTACATTATGGCTTTATAATCTAGGTCCATAAGATTCTCTAATCAGAGTGCTTATATCTCTAAACATTAAATGAAACTAAGAATTGTAATATACCTCATTCATTTTGAGAGGATGATGGATTTTTCCCCCAAACTCATCTTCTCTATATATTGGCCTTCCATCTCTTCAATAGATAATTATGTTGTGATATGTAATAAATCTCTTGAAGAGAACATACACTCTTCTGCTCAAAAGAAGATGAAAGAGAACAAAAAACGTTGACAGTTAAGGTTGAGTTAATTTTCTCTCTCTTATTTATACCATGATAATTTGCTCACTTTAAGATAGTCATCTGCCTGGCACTGGTGGCTCACACCTGTAATCCTAGCTACTCAGAAGGCTAAGATCTGAGTATTGCCGTTTGAAGCCAACCCAGGTAGATAAATTCATGAGACTCTTAACTCCAATTAGCCAACAAAGATCTACAAGTGAAGGTATGATTTAAGCGGTCGAGTTCCAGACAAGAAGTGAGGCCCTGACTTCAAGCTCCAGTATTGGTACACACACACACACACACACACACACACACACGCACGCACGCACGCACGCACGCACGCACGCACGCGCGCGCGCATGCGTGACAGATAGACAGGTCTTCTTCCTACTGAGGTGGTATGCTGGTATCCATAGTGGCTTTCCCTGTAATGTTTACTGAATAGTTTCTCAGGAGTGTCAATCCTGATTCTAGCAATTTGGATTATGGGCAGATAACAAGTATATTAATCTCAATATGCTAAAGCTGTGTGTTCAAGAAGCAGCAATCTAGTTGGAATGCAAAGTGGTCCTGGAAATTTCAATTAATAATGAGGTAATATTTAACCAAAGAAGTGTTGTAATGGTCTTGGAAGCCAGGGTGTTATAATAATTGTATATTAGGGTGTACAATGGGACCCAATTTCAGCTGACTTCAGAAATGATTTTGCCATGGTGAAATGAAGTAAAAGTGGACATCATCCAGGTAGTTTGGACTCTGATAAACATTTCAATCTTTTGTTTTCCTTCTTTTTTTTATAGAAACAAGAATAGAACATCTGAGGACATCTGTAAGTTAACTAACTAGTAAGGTCCTAAAGCTGCTTCAACAAAGTATAAAACTAAATAATAAGCCAGGACCAAAGAAACATAGGTCCCATGGTTTCCCTTATTTGCAATATGTAGTATATGTCTGAGTCAAGCAGAAAAGGTCAGATAAGGTGATGTTAGGGAAATGAACCCTAAGATATGTATTCAAATGTATTTTTTTCTTTCATGAGATTTTTTCTAACACATTTATAAGATTATTTCTTTGTTGCTTTGTATGTCCCTCCCCCACAGTATAACCCCTGCTTTCACTGTATTTGATGTCGGTATAATTTGTGGAGGGGAAGGGGAAAAACAAATTGTTTAAATAGGGATACAGGTGGCCCATTGCAACAATGAGATGTACAAGTCATTATGTCGAAAAATGAACTTTACAACTTTGGTGGGGGGGATTGGGGGGAGTGGGGGGGGAGGATGGGAAGGGATGGGAAGGGGAAACAAAGGAGGAGGCTACAATGCTTGATAAGAAATGTACTCATTATCTTGCCCATGTAATTGTAAACCCCCTGTACAGTATTTTCACAATTAAAAAAAGAATGCCTTACCAAGGCATAGCAGAAAATCTAAATGGTAGTTTGCAAGGCACTGGATACTTTAAAAAGACAGAAAGAGAGTGCCAAAAGAGAAATTCCTTCAAAATGTAGACATGGTAAAGTCTAATAGACATGGATAGAATCTGAATAAAAGGATTTGAGGATAAAATACAACAAAAAATTTAAATATGTAAAAAGAACACAAGAGAACAGAGAGTAACTGGCTACTTTTTTATTTTTATTTTTTTCAGTCCTGTGGCTTGACCTCAGGGCGTGGTCACTGTTCCTTAGCTCTTTTGCTCAAGGCTAGCACTCTACCATTTCTGGCTTTTTCTGTTTATGTGGTACTGAGGAATCAAACCCAGGGCTTCATGCATACTAGGCAAACACTCTACCACTAAGCCATATTGCCAGCCCATAACTGGCTACTTTTAAGAACTGATTAAGACTTCTGCTTCTTTCAGCTGGGAGTTGGTAATATCAGGTAACCTTCAACCTTTCTGATTGTTATTGCAATTCTTCACAATAAAAGTACTCCCAACACTGTACCAATCATGGCTGTTATCTATCACTGAATCTGGGTAACCATTAGGATGTTTCCAAAAAATACTGTTCCCAAGGCTCTGGTCAATGTATAAATTTTTATTTAATGTACAATAAACTTTTTTTTTTTGGGTCGGGTCTTGGGGCCTGGGCACTGTCCCTCAGCTCTTCAGCTCAAGGCTAGCACTCTACCACTTGAGTCACAGTGCTACTTCCGGGTTTTTTCTTTTTGCTTATCTCGTGCTGAAGAACCCAGGGCCTCATGCATGCAAGGCAAGTGCTCTACCACTGAGCCACCTTCCCAGCCCCTACAATGAACTTTTTGAAATGAAAAAAACTCTGACCCCAGGGTATAGACACAACTGTTTTGTAGTCAGGACTGAGGAATGTGTGCATTGGATCATACAACTTAGTTCAAGCATTCAACAAGCACAAATCTACATAGGCAGCCCCACGAGTAGCAAGCACATCATTCTTTTCAGTAGTAATGCCATCTCAAACCCAGATAGTGCAGCTCTGCCTTCTTTCATAGTTCTTACGAACTGCATCTATGACAGCAAATTCGAATGCTTACAAAAGGTATCATGTTGCATAGTTAAACAGTAAATTCACAGAATTCTGTGAATTTACAGATAAAAATTCCCATGATTCTACCCTAACCTGATGCTACTTGGTGTTATGAGCTTACATTTGCATATATGTTATTAACTGGAAAAAGCCCAACTGTTTGTCCTATGACAGTGCAGAGAAAATGTGATGTAATATAGTTCTAAAAGGAACCATGGACCAACTGTACACAGCCTGGGCTATGAATAGAAAAGTTACCTGGTGCTATTCACAATAATAGATTATATGGAAGAGAATCCATTCTGATGACAAAAGTAAAATATTGAAATATCTGTGAAACAAGTAGAAATTTCATTTTCTCAGGTTAATAAGCTTTTGACAAGCATATACTCAGGATTATTCTGCCATTCTTTTGCTCCTTCCTAGGAAGAATAATTTAATTTATGCATTCACTATAAAAGTTACACTTTATAATTCTTAGTTATGTAAATCATAATAGAATGAGAAATTGGGCCTAGATATTGGTAATAAACTTAAATCTGTTCAAATAAAGACTTTATAATACTCTTTACAAGCATTTGTTCCTCTTTAGAAAACAAGTATAGCCAGATATAGTGGTGTGTGACCATAATTCAGACTATGGGAGGGTAGAATTAGGAGGTTATAGTTCAAGGCTAGCCTAGACAAACATTTTAGAGGGACTCTATGTGAAAAGCATACTAAAATTAAAAGGACTAATGCTGTGGATCAAGTTGTATGACACTATGCTACAAAGTGCTATGCCCTGAGATTAATTCTCAATACCACCAAACCCTTCCCTGCAAAAAAAAAAAAAAAGTAAAAATTTCTTTGGTAGTTTGGTTCATTCCTGTAATCTTAATTGCTTAAAAGATCAGTAGGATCATGGTTTAAGTCAAAAAATGTTTTTGAGACCCCACCAAGACCAATAAAGAGAATGTGGTGGTGCACACCTATAATCTTAGCTATATTCAGTAGTATAAAAGAAAATCATGGTCCTGGGCTGGCATAAGTAAAAAGCGAGACCCTATCTCAAAAGTAATCACAGCAAAGAGCTGGAGGCATGACTCAAGTGGTTGAGTACTTGCCTTGCAAGCACAAATCCTTGAGCTCAAACCTAATAAATAAATAAATAAATAAATACATAATAAAAATAAAGAACTCTAGAATCAAATAAAAAATTATGAGAATAATCCTACATTAAATATTCAATTGAGTAGCCAGTTTCTGAAGTTGAATGGCATAAAAATCTAAGTAAACATATTAAAAGGTCCACTTTAAAAGAGAGAGAATGGAGGGGAAGAGAAAGGAGCTCAAGACCAAAATGTTGTCTGCCCTTAGGCAAATGAACTGCAGCAAGCAATCACCAGTGGGAAGTAAAGGCCTCCTCTACAAACCAGTGTTTTTTTCCTTTAGCTTCCAAAGAACAACTCGCTTTAATCAGAACAACACAGGACTGTACATGCAGACTGAAGTTTGTAGCAAATCCCCAGGAAAAATATTGGAGAAATCAACTTCATTTTTTCTTTCTTCTCTCTAGAGCCAGCCAACCCTCCCCTGCTCCATACCTGACAGGTGCGCCTCTGCTCTGTGCAGGTTTCAGCAGGACTGTCACTGTGTTGTCAGTTTGATTTAAAGGTGTCTCAAGTTCATAAGCTGGCATAGACGGTGCTAGGAAAAAAAAAGCATTAGACGGTAGACACATTATTTATGGATAATCTTTGTAATTTACTCTTTTACAAAAAAAAACAATCACTAAGTTTTTAATACTCTTAGTTTAAACTGCAGCTATTAACTTGACCACAAGCAAGGTTGATGAGTATTGTCTACACAGAAAAGTGAGAAGCTGCTAAAATTAGCACATACTGAGTGCCTTCTCTGATCCTGAGTTGAAATTGGGGCACATCGCAGGTCTTAGTGAAGTTCTGTTTTGTGACTGGGATCCTGGCTAAATGGATGTAGTCTGCTGTCAAAAATATTTATCAAGCTGGAAATCTGTAACTGGTGCACTGTAATATAAACATGTGATAGTCACTAAAAGATTTAAACACATGCTTAAGTTTGGAAATAATCAATAGGACCATAAAACTGAACTTTACCGTTTTTCTATCAAAGTCAAGGTTTCTCACATATCAAAGAACCCTCCTGGGCCAGGCACCAGTGGCTTATGCCTCTAATTCTAGCAACTCAGATCTGCCAGTTGGGCAGGAAAGACCATGAGACTCTTACCTCTAATTAACCACCAGAAAACCAGAAGTAGCTTGTGGCTCTGGCAGAGGGTTATCCTTGAGGGAAAAAGCTCAGTTACAGTGCTCAAGCCCTGAGTTCAAGCCCTACAACCACCATGACCACCATCCACAAGAACCCTCCTAGAGTTTAAGGAAAGTGGTGGAGGCCACAGGGACTTACTGGAGCCGGTAATAACCAGACACACATGGGAACTGAAGAATGATCTAGTGAATTCGACTTTTGGATGTGTTTCATTTAAATCAGTGTAATAACCTCAGAACCATCAGAGTTAGGCATCTCAGAAGATGAGAAACTATTCTCCACAGATATGAGTTCAAAGTAACAGAGACACAAAAAGAGCATTACAAGCAAATAGAATTTCACAAATATTAGTTCTCTTCCCAAAGTGAAAGCAATTTCCAGGCCATTTGCTGACATTCTTTCTTCTCACCATATGTCCCAGCTCTTTTCAGTAATTATGCCCCACTCTGGACAAGACAAATCACCATGTGGATCTGTGATGTGTCTTTGAGGGGGAGGCACTGTTTTCTATACCCACAGAAAGAGGTGCTCTGATGGAGAAGCTGGAAACTGTTTCTTTCTCCCAAAAATAGTTCTTTTTAATGACATATAAAAATGCTTTTATGTAACAGACATACTTTGTTCCTCAGTTTTGCTAGGCAAATTCTTTTTTTAAATATATTTTTATTGTAAAGATACTATACAGAGGGGTTATAGTTATATGAGCAAGGTAATGAGTACATTTCCTATGGAGCATTGTTACCCCCTCCTGTTTTCCCCCCTACCATCCCCTCTTCTCCCCACCTACCCAATTCCTCCCTCCCCCACCTCGAAGTTGTAAAGTTCATTTTCACACAGTGTCTTGTACATCTTGTTACAATGGGTCAATCCTTATCCTTGTTTCATCATTTTGTTATTTCCCTTCCCCTCCCCAAATTAGAAAAATGTATATTTACAATTCAGGACACTGGAATCCAATATAGTGAAAACAGGGGTTATACCATGGGGAAGAACATACAAAAGAAACAAAAAAAATCACATAGTACATTATAAGAACACTAAAAACAACAGCAACAAAGATAAAACCTTTTATGTCCCTATATTGGGGTTCACTTCTCTTAGCATCCTCTTATATGGTCATATGTACATAGCTTTTGAGCTTTTCTGCTTGTCCTAGACATATACTAGTTATTGCAGATAAGGGAAACCATGGGACCTATGTTTCTTTGGGTCTGGCTTACTCCACTTAATATAATTTTTTCCAAGTCTTTCCATTTCCTAACAAATGGGACCATGTCATTCTTTCTGACATTTCATTTTCTTGATCCATTCATCTACTGAGGGGCATCTGGGTTGGTTCCATATCTTAGCTATGGTGAATAATGCTGCAATAAACATAGTTGTGCTGGTAGCTTTAGTATGGCCTTGTTTGTGATAGTTTGGTTAAATGCCCCAAAGTGGGATTGCTGGGTCATAGGGGAGCGCTATGTGGAATTTTTGAGGATCCTCCATACTGCTTTTCAAAGTGGTTGAGCAAGTTTACACTCCCACCAACAATGCAGTAGTTTTTCCTCTTGGTCATATCCCCTACAGCATCTGTTCTTATTATAGCCATTCTAACTGGGGTGAGGTGGAATCTCAATGTTGTTTTGATTTACATTTCTTTTATGGCTAGATAAGTTGAGCATTTCATGTGTCTATTGGCCATTCTTATTTCCTCTTCAGAGAAGTTTCTTTTTAAGTCTTTAGCCCATTTATTCAGGTTGTTGTTCCTTTGAAGATTCCTTTTTAGAGGATTCAATTTTTTTGAATTCTAAATATATTTTAGATATGATATCCTTGTCTTTTGTATAGTTAATTAAGATCTTCTCCTAATCTGTGGGCTTTCTATTGATCTTGCTAGCTATGTCCTTTGCTGTGCAGAAGCTCTGAAGTTTCATGCAATCCAATTTTCTTTGATTTGAAATCCGAATTTCTTTGATTTGTTGTGTTTCTAGTTCTTTATTAAGAAAATTTCGGCCTGTGCCTAGGAGACCTAGAGTTGCTCCTATCCCTTCCTGTAACATTGTCAGGGTGTCTGCCTTTTTGCTTTTTTTTGGGGGGGGGTCCAGTCATGGGGCATGAACTCTGGGGCTGGGCGCTGTCCCTCAGCTCTTCAGCTCAAGGCTAGGGCTCTAGCCCTTGAGCCATAACACCATTCCCAGCTTTTTTCTTTTTGCTTATGTGGTGCTGGGGAACTGAAACCAGGGCCTTAGGCATGTAAGGCAAGCACTCTACCACTGAGCCACCTTCCCAGCCCCAGGATGTCTGCTTTTATCTCAAGGTATTTGATCCATTTGGAGTTGATTCTGGTGTAGGGTGATACATAAGGATCTAGCTTTAGTTTTCCACATATGTTTAACCAATTTTGCCAGCACCATTTACAGAGGAGGCTGTCTTCCCTCCATGCTATTTTTTAAAGCTCCCTTATTGAAGATTAGATGGCTATAGGTCTGTAGGTTCATTTCTGGGTCTTCAGTTCTATTCCACTGGTCCTAAGGTCTGTTCTTATGCAGTGCCGAGGTGTTTTGATTACCATGGCTTTGTAGTAGTTTGAAATTTGGTATTGATATTCCTCCAGCACTGTTCTTTTTTTCTGCTAAGGATTGTTTTTGCTATTCTGGGTCTTTTATTGTTCCATATGAATTTTGTGATTGCTTCTTCTATTTCATTGAAGAAAGTGGTTGGGATATTTATAGGTATTGCATTGAATTTTTATATGGCCTTTGGCGGTATTGCCATTTTCACTATGATAATCCTCTCAATCCAGGAGCATGGGAGGTTTTTCCACTTCCTTAGTTCTGCTTTAATTTCCTTTTTCACCTAACCAATTTTCTCCATTCAAAATTAATTCCAAATCATAACACAGAATTATTCCTTGGATGTGAGACCATCTCCTTCTCTCAGATCCATGAAAATAGAATGTAAATCTCATGAACTGAAACTATTTTTTTTTCTTTTTACCAAATGAGGTCTGACTGTTTTCCCAATCTGGCCCTTATTTCCTGAGCATCATTAATCCTCTTTGTTCAGCTTCCTGAGTAACAGGGACTTGTGCCTGGCAACTTTTTAATATTGAAATTAAATATCTACTCTTGATGAGCCTACACAGGCTAACTGAAATGTCAAGTTTCCTTGCTTTTGGATGGCATTATCTGAATCCCAAATATTAATAGTGGTCAGATTCACTTTGCTTGGAATATTTAACTAATAAATATGAGCAAAGTGAATACTTTTTGGTAAAAGAGTATCTTCTTAAAAATGATTACTGAAATATGTTTTCCATTAGAGAAATATTTAAAAATTACTTAGAAGCATACAAACTAGCACATACTTCTTAAGTCCCAAGACAAATTGATGTATCAGTTAAAATCTTAATATCTTGGTAAGTATCATAATACTTTCACAATAAGTTATATATTTGCTTTATTGAGATCAGAGATGAAGTACATAAATAATCAGAACTAAACCCCAGATCTTCTGACTTCACATCCAGTGGTTTTTCTGATTATTCATCTGTACAACTTCAACATTTCTAACCCACAAGGATCGTTCCTTTCCTGCTCTCTATTATTTGCAGAACCAAATGCTTCACACTGGCTATCAAATATGCATCAAATCTTCAGTGAAATTTGTGCTGAAAAGCACAGTCTTCCAATGAATAAGCATGATTTATAATTAGTTAAAAAGAAACATTTCAAAATGTCCTCCCTCACAACCTAGCAGACCACTGATAATAGTCTACTTGTGGATATTTCTTCTCTTCTATACTTTTATAAAGCTAGGAAATAAATTAAGCAGAATATTGCTGTTGTAATAGTGAATGATATCTCTCTTCACTCTCCTCCAGCTCTTCCTATCCATTTATGGTTTGGATATGAAATGCCTCCAAAGGTTCCTGTGTTGAAGGATTGGTTACCAGCTAATAGTGCAAATGAGAGGTGGGTGGTTCATATGGGGATGAATGGGCCATCAGGAAGTAGGGCCTAGCTGGAGGAAGTAATCATAGGAATATGCCTTTTAAGGATATGCCTTGTCCCAGAACCATCTCTTTCTGCTTCTCAGCCAAAGTGATGAGAGTGGCTTGGCTCTACTGGGTGTTCTCTCCATGGTGTTCAGTCTTTTCAGGCCCAAAGTAACAGGGCCAATCAATCATGGACTGAGACTCAGAAACCTTAGCCGAAATAAATGCATCTTCCTTTAAGTAGTTCTTTCTCAGGTATTTTGTAACAGTGATGGAGACAATAGACTAAGACAACTCCTCACAAAACAAAACAGTTAAAGTTAAAACTCAAATACTGCAAGGTGCCAGTGACTCACACCTACAATCCTAGTTAATCAGGAGGTTGAGCTCTGAGATCATGATTCAAAGCCAGCCTGGGAAAGAAAGTCTATGACACTCTTAGTTTCAATTAACCACTAATACCCCTTCAAAAAAAACCCCCAAAAAAGAACCTCCAAATTAGAGCTGTGGCACAAGTGGTAGTGGGCCAGCCTTTAGATAAAAAGCTAAAGGATAGTGCCTAGACTCTGATATTAAGCCAGTACCCCTGCAAATACAAAAAACAAAAGACAAAAATGAAAAAAAATGTGTATATATACCACATTTTCTTGATACATTCATCTACTGAGGGGCATCTGGCGTGGTTCCATATCTAAGCTATGGTAAATAATTCTACAATAAACATACTTGTGCTGGTAGCTTTAGTGTGGTCTTGTTTGTGATCATTTGGGTAAATGCCCCAAAGCGGGATTGCTGGGTCATAGGGGAGCTCTATGTGGAGTCTTTGGAGGAACCTCCATACTACTTTCCAAAGTGGCTGAACAAGTTTACACTCCCACCAACAATGCAGTAGGGTCCCCTTCTGTCCACATCCCCTCTAGAAATAATGACATTGCCCCATTTGTTAGGAAATGGAAAGACTTGAAAAAAATTATATTAAGTGAAGTAAACCAGGTCCAAAGAATCATAGGTCTCATGGTTTCCCTTATTTGCAATAACTAGTATATGTCTGAGACAAGCAGAAAGGTCAGATAAATTGATGTTAGGTGAAATGAACCCCAAGATAAGGGCTCAAATTTTTTTTCTTTCTTGCTCTTGTTTCTAACATATTTATAAGATTATTTCTTTTTTGCTTTTTATGTCCCTGCCCCATGGTATAACCCTTGTTTTCACTGTATATGATGTTGGTATAATTTGTGGAGGGGAAGGGAACAAACAAATTGTTTAAATAGGGATACAGGTGGACCCACTGCAACAATGAGACGATGTACAAGATGTTATATCGAAAATGAACTTTACAACTTTGGTGGGGGGGTGTAGGGGGGGATATGGGAAGGGATGGTAAGGGGAAACAAAGGAGGAGGCAACAATGCTTGATAAATGTACTCATTACCTTGCTCATGTAATTGTAACCCCTCTGTACAGTATTTTCACAATAAAAAAATTAAAAAAAACAAAAACAAAAAAACATGGTGCTGGGAGGGTGGCTCAGTGGTAGAGTGCTTGACTTGCATGCATGAGGCCCTGGGTTCGATTCCTCAGCGCCACATGAGCAGAAAACGCCAGAAGTGCACTGTGGCTCAAGTGGTAGAGTGCTAGCCTTGAGCTGAAGAGCTGAGGGGACAGTGCCCAGGCCCAGAGTTGAGGCCCCATGACCAACAAAGAAAAAAGAAAAAGAAAAAAACATGCATGCACACAAAAATACCAACCAACCAAAAAAACATACAAAATAACCCTTAAATATTTCCATATTGCTATCCAAAGGATAGAGGAAAAATTTAAAAAGGAAAAAAGAAAAACAAATCTGTTTATTGTGGTTACATATATACCATACCAGATGGCAACTTCATTTCCTCCAGTCCGAAGTACAAAGACATTTTATGCACAGTTGAACATGCCCAGAAATATTTCCCAAATTATATCTTTTGTTGGATGATATAATTGAGTCTCTTTCCAGCAGAAAGCTGGGGCCCCTAAGTGCCTGGTGCTATCCTGTATGCAGTAGCCACTCTCTGCAAATGGAAAATTATTAACAGTGAAGGTTCCAAGGCAGGCTGCTCTTCTGCTGAGCTCATGGCTCAAGCATGACACATGTTTTACAAACATTCTGCTCTGCTGTCTTGAGATTGCAAAGGGGATCAGAGTGCTTTAAGGGAACTTTCTGCCTCATCTCCAAGTCTTCCAGGGAAGTCTATTCTAACAGTGGCCCTTGTCCTAACACAGAATGGATGACCTTAGACATCCAGAGGTATGTGTGTATAATTAAGATGTGTTATGCAGCCAGGGGCCAGTGGCTCATGCCTGTAATCCTAGCTACTCAAGGACTGAGATCTGAGGATCGTGGTTCAAAGCCAGCCCAGGCAGGAAAGTCCATGAGACTCTTATCACCAATAAAAACCACTAGAAAACCAGAAGTGGCGCTGTGGCTCAAGCAGTAGAGCGCTCGCCTTGAGCTGAAGTGCTGAGGAACAGTGTCCAAGCCCACAGTTCAAGCCCCACGACCAACCAAAAAAAAAAAAAGATGTGCTATGCAAGCTTGGCTTTGGGGAAGGGGTAATGAAGCTGATCCCTTAGCTTTTTGTTTAAGGCTGGTGTTCCATTAGTTGAACCACACATTTACTTTTGGCTTTTTGCTGGTTAACTAAGAGATAAGAGTCTCATGGATTTTCTGCTGATTGGCTTTGAACTCTAATTCTTCCATCTCAGCCTCCTGAGTATTTAGGATTAGAAGCATGGACTACTGGTGCTTGACTCAAGCTTGGTATTTGTGACATCAGGAATGTAAAAGTACAAAATTTCTGCTTCTGAGGAAAAAAAAGCATAATTAACGAATGTATATAATACCTGATATTTTGGTTGTGAACTGGTTTGTTGCAGGAGGTCCAAAGCCCTTTGCCGTGCTTGCCTGGATGGTAAAGGAATATGTGGTTCCCGGATACAGTCCAAAAAACAGAAAGTGAGTTTCGTTTCCTAGTTTTGAAACTCTTCCACTTTGATTGGATAAATCTATTTCTGGATCAAATGAACTGACTGCTTTGTAGACAATCTGCAAAAAGAATAAGGATGTGATGAAATCCCTGTAGCGGATGAACTTAGGCTGCATCTTTATCCACTATGGCCTTCTGCACTGTCAGACCCAGTGTTATAAACAGTCCTCTAATTCACACTCTTCAAATCCAGAATTCAGAGTGGGAGCAACAGCTCAGGAAAAACTGTGAGGAATTCTCACCTTTATAGACAGAGGAACTTAAAGCCAATAGATGAGAGAGTGAAGGATGAATTCCGATTTAAGCTGATACCTTGAAGATCTTTGTTTTCCAAGTGTAGGTTTTATAAAACCACACAACAGCTGGTTTAGAACAAAGTAACAAAACAAGCAACTAGCTCAAACAGATAAAGCTCTGAGAAGCATGAAAGGCTTCCTCTCTAATTTAGTGGCCATGATTTGATTTAACACTAAATAGGATTATTGTCTACTAGTAACAAGGACACATTTAAGTGTTTTCATCACCGTGGGCAAAGATTTCTGTTCTAAAAATAAATCCTACCCTCATGCCAGTAGCTCTCAGTATACTGAATCGAGTGCTCATTTGGGGTTATAGTCATTTTTCTTCCTGTACAATATTGTCCAACAGAACTTCCCACTGTGATGAAAGTGTTCACTTTAGCACTGCTCATTTCAATATGGTATCCACAAGCCATGTGTGACAACAGAGTACTTGAAATGTGGCAATTGAGAACAAGGAAGCAAAAATTTCATTTTAATTTATATAAATTTAAATCAGTATGCATTACTAGGTACTAGCAAATTCAATTCTAACAATTTTGATTATATTTGTTACATATCCTGTTTTCTTGGGCTGGATAAGTCTGGAATATTTTAAAAATATATATAACTTAAGTGCCTTTAAATTTTCTTTTTTTAAGGGATTTTTTTTAAAAGAGAATTTAAGGATGAGTTCATCAACTATTCAAGAACATGTACTTCAGGGGTGATTACTAACTTCTACTGGTTGTAATGATATAATTTTTAAATGCAGCATATTCAAAAGTTTTAAATTGCAAAACTGAGCACTTTTCCTGCTTCTAAATAAGTAAACTTACTCATAATTTATGTGCATGAACACTAGCACTGTTATTATACAGAGTGATAATTGACATTCTTTCTTCCTATGTTTATACCATGTCATTATAATTAAGAAGACCTCTCTGAAAGAATATTTAGATTGAACCAACTGAGCTTTGGCAAGGAAATACCTGTTGTATACATTAATCATTGGAGTGAATGACACCAGCAGAGTCAGGCTGTTGTTAACCCTATACTAGATTTTTCCACTCAAGGTGAAGGAGTTCAATATGTACAAGACCAGATCTCCCTGGGTAGGGAGCTCAGCAATACATCTGTCTGTGCCCTCACTTGCTCTCAGTTCTCCATTCTGGATCCTCCATAGAAAAAGGTAGCTCAAAAGAGCAAGTGTGAAACTAGGCAGTATGATTTCTCCTCAAAGTTTACTCATTGTTTCATTCACTCACACATTCAAAGCCTATTTGCTAAGTGCTTCTAGCACTCCTGAGCTGGAGTCTCACCTGGTGATTCCGGCACTGTGCAGCCCCTGGTATGGGAAGGTGAAGAGGCAGTCCAACACTTACGAAACTACTTAATTGTAGTAAGTGTGAGCACTGCCCACTAGGGCTATGTTTGTTTTCTCATTCATTTTAGTGCCTTGACTGAAACTAAGGGCTCACAAAGGCACATAGAACAAAGTCTGGGCACCTTTGCTTTCCATTTCACCTGCTTCTCCAGACTAACTTTTGAATAAATTACATTGTATTATATTACCCTCTGTTCTGTGTTCTGTGGGGGACTGAAGACTGATGGCCTCAAGCACTGACAGGTGTTTGCCGAGGCTGCTCTTGTTTGTGCATTTCCACTCTTTCTTGGTTCTCTACTTAGTTTGGGTTTGGTTGGTTGTTTTTCCTGCCAGTACTATGGATTGAATACAAGGCCTTGTGCTCTTGCCTAGCTTTTTCTGCTCAAGTCTGGTGCTTTATCACTTTAGTCATCCCTCTTGGATTTGTCTGATCCCACTAGATTGGACTTAGATCCTCAGATCTCAGCCTCCTGAATAGCTAGGATTATATGAAATATAAGTAAGAAGGAAAGAAATTTGTTTTGGAAATGTTTTTAAAAATATTGCAGAGTTAAGTGAGACAAGGATAAAAAGGTGTCTACCTATACCTCAGGCCAGACTCCCAGTTTTTCTTATTTATAGTCTTCCCAAGTCTGGCTTACTAATCACATGGGTCAGCTAATGCCTGCAGCTGAGACTGCTTATATCCTTCATTTGGTGATTAGTCACAGATGCAGTAAAGATCTCTGGCTTAGTCTTAAATCATAATCTAAGTATGTCAGAGGAATCAGAACATTGTGTGTAATTATATCTCCTTTCTGAGGAATGACTGAAGTCTTATTCTTTTTTTATTCCATTTTAATCAGCAAATATTCAGCACTCAGTATATATTTCCTAAAAGAGCTCCTGCTTGGAGTAGGTGTTTACCTGTGCTCATGCAAACCCATATACTCAGGTAAGCAGAATCCTTGGTCTACTAGTGTAAACTATGAAGCAGAGACTCCTCAACTTCAGGATTTGATGAGCTGGAGTTGCCTATGGTCATGAAGCCCAGGACAAACTACACTGGGGATTCTGATCTGTCTAAAGACACAACTCTTTGTAATCTGGTAACAATTATAGATTTTCCCCCATTGTCCCTACATAATGCATTCATATGCTAATTAATGCACTTGCAACAATTAAGAATCCTCTTCCTCACTCTAATTCATGTGTTTGTGTCAGAAAGTTCATGGCTCCATCCCTATCCCCTTCCTCCCCCAAATTACTCACAGAGCTCTAGGTGTCTGAATTCTGAATGAAGTTGAGGCCTAGGGGCAAGCTAACTTCCATAATTCTACAGCTTGTCACAGAGACCACAGGCAGCAAGCAGCTGCTGGCCTGCTGATAGTGATGTTCAAGGTACCAGTGTGCATGGCCATACTCAAATCCACAGGCAACACATCCCTTCCAAGTTTGTTTTTCAATTGTTTTAAGTTGATTGTCTATTAAGTACTTGGTAGTGGAAAAGGGAGCAGGGAAGCTCCCAGAAGGAATGTGTAGGAAGCTTTTACACCTGCACATGATTGCTGAATAACGGTGAGGACATTTTAATGAAGCATCTATAAAGACTATGATAGGAATCTGAGTGATTGTATGAGATGCACAAGAAAAAGCACCAGGACACAAAAACAAAATGTGAGGAAGAAAGGGAATTAAATTTAGGTGAGATGGAATGAAGCATGCACACATACTGGTTTTGATTTCCAAGTTAAGTGCCTGACATCTTCCAAAATTATCTTTTTCTCCCTTAAGTTTCTATGTCTAAATGGAGAGTTTCATTGACAGTTTAGTTTAGGGAACTAAAATCTTCCAGGAGTTGAGTTGGGGTAATTATAGCCAGCATAACAAACAGGCCTCTAATTGAGATCTCCATAAATAAAAATAAATAATTAAGTTGGATTTCAGAAGTAGAAAGGACATAAGATACATAAAAGGAAAGAAAATTATTGGAATGGAATACTGAAAGAACAGCAGAAGTATGTATATTATAGAAGAGAGGAAGATGCCAGAGGAACACAGAGATAATCACCACAAGTAGGGAGATATGAGAATTCAAAAGACTATTAGATAAAAAGAAAACTTCCTATGTATAGCTCATTGAATTCAAGAGAAAAAAACAGGAGATGAAGTGATAAATATAAATTGGGATTAGAACATAGGAAGTATACAATATTGAAACCAAATTTTTAATTTTGAAACCTTCTTTGCTTATTGTAAAGACGATGTACAGAAGGGTTAAGGTCACATCTCAATCAATGGTAGTCACATCTCAGTCAGTGGTAGTTACATCTCAGTTAGTGGTACATACATCACAGTAAGTGGTAATTCACTGAGTCCAAGTCACCCAGGCTCAGGATCTTGAGAGCTTCAACACTGGATACACATTGTCCTAATCAACTGAAAAGTCCAGTTCTTTCTAATCTACTCTTCCTAAACAAAACTGAACTGACAACCTGCTTTTGGTACTTAATTTCTTCTTTCCATGGTTAATTGCCAAAAGCCCAGCTGCTGCTCTCTGCTAGAAAGCAGAGAGACACAGAACCTATTTGTTGTTTTTCTTTTATTCCAAAATTTATGCAAATCAAGACTTTTTTTTGTGTTGGCACTGGGGCTTGAACTCAGGGCCTAAACATTGTCCCTTAGTTTTGTCCACTCAAGACTGGTACTCTACTACTTGAGGCATAGATCTACTTCTGTCTTTTGGGTGATTAATTGAAGATAAGATTCTGCCCAGGCTGGCCTTGAACCTTGATCCTCAGATCTCAGCCAGAATTATAGGCATGATCCATCAGTGTTGACCAAACTTTTCTTTTTTTCTTTCTCTCCTCCCTCCCTTCCTTCCTTCTTCCTTCCTTCCTTCTTTCTTTCCTTCCTTCTTCCCTCCATTGCTCCCTCCCTCCTTTCTTTTTTCCTTTCCTTTTCTCTTTCTTTCTTTTTCTTTTTTTAAATTTATTTTTTTTTCTCTCTCTCTTTCTACCTACTGTTGGGTTACTCTTATGCTCAGAAGACTAATTTCCTTGTTAGGTAACTGAGAGACACACAAGATGCAAATATTTGAAGCTGTATCTTGGTGCATTCCTGACTGAAAAACTTCTAGAAATAAGTTTAGTATACAATGTTTAAATTGTGATACTTTCAAATTGCCTACAAAAATATGTTTTTCCAATAAGTCTATGTAGGTACATACTTCTCCATGTTACTGATTAACAATTGATATTATAGAGATTAAAACTTCTTATTTCATTGCTTAATGATCAGTTAAGTTGAGCAGACATATTTCCATATATGTGTATGTGAGATCTTTGCATGCCAGTGCCATTTTTTTCTGAGTTGTCTCTTCCAATTCTTTGTCTACGTTTTTCCAAATGAGTTGTTTTGTCTTTTACTTATTAAACTGTATTGAGTTTATATCGTAAGCAATTTATCCCAGTCTATTTATATTAAGACTTTCTTCATCAAATCTTTCATCATTCTGCAATAAAATATAGTTTGAGACAAGGTCTCAAACTAGCTAAGCCTGGACACAAACACTTTTGATCCTCCTGCCTTAGGGTCCCCAGTACAATGATTACAAGCATGCAGAAATATGCCAGACTGCGATTTAAAAATCTTACATAATCAACTCTGTTAGTCTTTTTAAATTAGAAAAAAATATAGAATACACATTTCTATCTACAACAATCTGTTTTTACTTCTGTCTTTCAAATATCATCCAAGTAGGTTTCTTGTCCTAAAGAAATTTATTACTGAAGTTCCTTTTTTAACCATGATCATTGATCTGCCATTTTAGGTTTTATCTATATTCATGTGACTCCCTGACAGGCTCTACTGTTCCAATGATCCCTGCTTCATTGGAGACAGGGATCTAAGTACAGGGTTTATTCCAGAAGACTGAAGCCCTCCAAAGAGGGAACTCAGTCTAATTTCACATTGATCTTTGGTTCCAGCAGGAAGCTGTGTTGATTGCAGACTCTAGAATAGTCCAGGTAAATCAGCACTGGGGTATATCAGCTAATCAAGAGTCCCCTTTTGATATTCTACTTAGGGCGTACTTTGAGGAACCTGAGGACTCCCTTCCTTCCTACATTTAGAAACAAGATGGAAAAAAAAGAAAGATGTGGAGCCCACAAAACTTGTATTTAATCACTTAAGCCCAATTCACATGTTTGTCATTTGGATCCACAGTAAAATGAGTCTACCTGGTCCACTTACGAATATCTGATTTGTAAAGCCTTGATTTATGACAATCCCCACATCATCATGTACCAGCATTTAGATTAGTGTTCAACTGGGAGATTTTGGCTGCTGAGTCAGAGAGATTAATGAGTTCTTCCTTTGAATTATTATTTTCCCTGCTGTTTTCATCGTTAAGTTACTTAACACACAAAGATAAATGTCCAGTGGGATGAGAAAGAAAGAATTTTGCTGTTACTTTCTATCTGTCTAGATAACAATATGTGACTTTTAGGACAAGTGGGTTTACTGCTTGGATCTTAAAGTGAACTTCAATGACTATGCTGTCAAGTAAACAAATCTCAATATAGGTAAGAACCCCCAACACAAGAAACTTGAAAATATCAATAGAACCACCAATGAAGTAAATGATTCTCATCATTGAGCATCAAAATTGAATTCATTTGATGTGATTCTAAAGTTTTAAAAGTTTTAGAAAATGCTGGGTTATGAATTTTCTTAACACTATATAATATTTTTTACAATAAAACAGCCAATGATCATTAGCAGCAGTATGAAAATCAACTTTATTGTTTTATCTTTCTTCATCTTGCTATTAATCAATCGGTTTTCTTTTCAATACCAATTTTCCAAAGGTCTCAGGAGATGTCAATGGAAAGCTAGGTGGGTCAGAGGAGGGGTTCATGAGTGATTACTGCTGACAGCTCATCTGCATGGCTTTTGTCAGGAGTTCTGAAAGGGATTCAAGCAGAGGTTCTACAGGAGGACCTGCACAATTTTTAGAAACCTTACAACATATAATTTTATCGAATTTGCATTCAAATAAATTCTACCTTAAAAATGTACCTGCTTGTTTCTATGACAATAGGAACAATGAAACGATGCTCTCACACACATCTGATGATGAATGTCACCCTGTTATTGCTGTTATTTTTTTCCTGGAACAATTCATCAAATTCTTCTTTGCTGTCTGTCACTCAACTGTTTGATTTACTCAGTCAACAAAACCATGTCAAAGAAGTCTCATAGATGGTTTAATACAAAGAACCCAAAGACATTATTCTATCATCACTCCTGAGACAATTATTACTGACTCTGCTAATTGAATAATCACTATTCTTTTACAATTCAGAAGAAACATATCTCACAGCTAAGAAAGAATAGGATTCAGTGTTTGCTTCCTAATCAGCATGTGTTTCCAAATACTTGCTGTTTTTAATAATGGACACTTAAAAAATGTGATACTGGCTTTTAATATAGAATAACATATAATCCAGAATAAACAAACTCATTTCATATGTACACGTTGAATTTATACATGCTATTAAAAAGTCATTTAAATTTTTTTTCTTTTTAAAGTTGGGTGCCAGTGGCTCATGCCTATAATCCTAGCTATTTAGGAGCCTGAGATCTGAGCATCATGATTTAAAGCCAGCGTAGGTAGGCAGAAAAGCCCATGAAACTCTTACCTTTCAATTAACCAGGAAAAAGCCTGAATGGAGGTGTGCCTTGAATGGCAGAGCACTGGTCTTGAGAGAAAACGCCAAGCAAAAAAAGCAAAATCCAGAACTCAAGTCCTAGTGTGAGCACTCACAAAATTGTTTTTATATAATACCCACAACTACAGAAATCAATAAATGTCTTAGTAGGTATCATGAAATTATGTATTTTTAAAATACTAGACATCCTAGACTATCATTACAAAATGTCATGAAAAGTTACCACCAAATGTATATACTACCTCATATAAAGTGATGACACCATATGTTTGAGTTGGTTCTCTCCACTGAAGAAATATCTTCTCTTCAAAGGTACTTCCTTGGATGGACTCAGTAGGAACAGCACCTGGGACTGAAGAAGGATTAGGAAGAGAATGTCAAAGTTCAGTGTTAATTCTCCATAAGGATTTGATTGCCCATAGATAACACTCTGATTTATAGCCAATTTAGCTCAGATGAAGTTCTTTGATTTCTCATAAAAGAAATGAAGATGATATGGTACAGTTAGAGTCCACACACACTGCTTGTGGGAGTGTTAAGTAGGTAAGCCACTTTGGAAAATTATCAGGTAGCATTTGATAAAGCTAAAGATGGATGCCTAGACCAAGCTGGACATGGTGATACCCCTGTAATGCCAGCAGGCTGAGGCAGGAAGTGGGACCATGAGTTCATCGACAGCTTAGGCCATGTAGTAAAATGCTAGAAGATGCATCGAGAATATGACTAACACAATCGTTTAGATATATTCCTTGCTAAAATTCTTGCACATGGATATCAAGAAACATATATTAAAATGTTAGTATAGTAGTGCATTTAATAACAACAATTAAAAAAACAAACTGGCAACAAACAAAAGAATTTAACAAACTGTCTTAGAGTCACATGACAAAAATATTAATAAACTGAAAGTAAATGACAGTTACATAAGTCACTAGGGATATACTTTGTAACCATAATATTGAGCGGCAAATGCATGTCAAAAAGACTATATATAAAAGCTACTTGGAATCTAAAACCAGAGAAACAATGGCTCAAGACCAGCTAAGGCAACACATTTAAAAACACATATATACATGTATTCACACATATGTATGATGTGTGAATATATACATATATACTTATATATTTAATATATACAGACATCTTTATATATGTATATATAAATGTATATGTATGCATTTATATATGTGTATATACATTATATGTATATGTATACATTTATATATATATACACATATATAACGATGTCTGTATATGTTAAATATATATAAATATATGTATACATTTATATATATACATTTATATATAGAGAGAGATGTATATATATACACATCTCTATATATTATATATAAAAATGATACATCTATTGAAAATGAATAGAAATTAATATAGATCCAACCACAATATGGTTTTAAAAATCATTAATATTTAGGAAAATTTCATGGATATTTCCTCATCAATTTTCTACAAAATAAAATTGAACATTATTTTTAAGTATTAATTTTCAGGCCAAGTGCTGATGGTGCATGCCTATAATCTTAGCAACTCAGGAGGCCGAGAGCTGAGGATTGAAGCCAGCTGGCTTCAATAAGAGTCCATGAGACTCTTATCTCCACTTAACCACCAAAAAGCTGGAAGTGAAGCTGTGACTCAAGTAATAAGGTGCTAGTCTTGAGCAAATAAAGTAAGGGACAGTACCCAAGCCCTGAGTTCAAACCCAGTATTGGCAAAAATGTTATTTCCTATAATTTTCTCAATATAGGCTTCAAATTTGCTTAACTTGTACATAATTCAGCAAATGCTCATGTAAGTTTTTATTAAGAGGACCTCTAGGGGCAGGGAAGGTGGCTCAGTGGTAGAGTGCTTGCCTTGCATGCATGAGACCCTGGGTTCGATTCCTCAGCCCCACATAAGCAGAAAAAGCTGGAAGTGGCGTTGTGGCTCAAAAGGTAGAGTGCTAGCCTTGAGCTGAAGAGCTGAGGGACAGCACCCAGGCCCATAGTTGAGGCCCCACGACCGACCAAAAAAAAAAGAAAAGAAATGAAAGGAAAGGACCTCTATAACATACATAAACTCCAGGGCAGAGGATAAAAAGATTGGATGGCACATAGAGTGATCCAAAATTATTGCAGAAGACTCAAATGTCCTGATTTCTAAACATGTAACAGCTGGACATGGTTATGCATGCCTGTAATCTCAATACTCAGAAATGAGATAGGAGGATCACAAGTTCTGGGCTTTATATAGAGACATTGTCTAAAAGAAAAAAATAAGGAACTACAAAACAACAAAAACAGAAACTACAGAAAAAGCAACAAGATTAAAACATTAAAAACCTTGTAACAATTAAGGCAGTAGGGTTTTGGTTCAGCTGACTTACTGGAAAATCAAATGAGGAGAAAATAATATTCCAATTAGTAGTACATGATATAGGTATTTTTAAAAATGAATTCTTCTCTCATATTACATATAAAAATTAAACCAAAATTGATTCAATACCTAAATATAAGAATTAAAACTAAATAACTTTTAGAAAAGAATTTTGGTGGAAACCTACATGACTTTGGAGTAGGCACTGGTTTCTTAGACATCCTGGTACCCAAAGCAGAAACAACAGAAGAAAATACACATTAACTGTGCATCATTAAAATGGAAAGCTATAGTGTTTCTAAAGATACTTTTAAGAAAAAGGTAACACATAGAATAGAACAAAGTTTTGACAAATCATTTATCGACTTGTACTTAGAATACATAAAACATTAAAACACAACAATGAAATATTGTTAAGCAAAGGATCTAAATAATTCTTCAAAGTAGATTTACAAAATACACACACACACACACACACACACACGATAGCTGGAAAACACATGGAGAAATTATAACCCTAATACAATGCAGGAAGGAGTGAAAAATCACACAGCTACTTTGAAAATGGTCTGGCCATTTCTCAAATAGTCCAAAACAGATTTATAATCCCACTCCTAGATGTATCTATTGATTATCTAGATAAACACTCAAGAAAACTAAAAAGAAGCATGTCAGCTCAAAAACTTGTGCTAAAACACAGAATCTTTCCAATTCCTAATAAAAAAAATCAAAGCAACTCAAATTAAAGGATAAATATATTTCAGTAACTTGGGGCGGGGGAAGGGGGTGGCGGATGCCAGTACTGGAGTTGAATTCATGGCATTGAGCTCTTGCTTAACTTTTTCACCTAAGGCTGGCAAACTATCATTTGAGCCACACCTTCACTTCTGTATTTTTCTTTTTAAATGGAGAGTAGAGTCGAATGTTTTTGTCTGTCTAGGCTGGCAGATCACAGCCTTCTAAGTAACTAGGATTACAGGTGTGAGCCACTGGTGACTGACAATGATTTTTTAAAGGAGGGTTGGAGAAACATTTTAGATTGTGTGGATATGAACTGTCTATTTAATGTTCAGAAAGAATGCCAGTCTGGAGATACTGCCTGGAATTTCAAAGGGAAGTAAAGATTTTTAAAATCCAAGCTCATCTTTTTAGTTGAGGCATACTTGTAATAGTTAGATTTGGAGTCGTTGCAGTTATTCTAAAGTGCTCTGTAGGTTTTAGAAGAAAAAAAATTACTATTACATTTTGCAGGACTTAGTGGTTGAAGACTCTCCAGTAATTAAGCTGTAGAATTTAGAGAAACTGCCAAGCCTCCTGGCATTTTAGTTGCATCATTTCTAAAGTAGAGTTAGAGTGAAATGATTCCTAAGGTAGGAAACTTACAAACGTGCATGAGCATTCATACTAAGCTGAAGAAATCTATGGAAATCAAAGCAAAGCAAAGCAAGGTAATGAATCAGTTATGACAATGGTGAGTTCCTAGAACATTACCATTATAGCTAGAATATTAGAAAGTTCATCTATGACCATAGCAAGTCATCCTTAAGAAAAGATACCACGCATCTAGTTGAAGTACAGTGCGCTGTGACTGAGGAAATACTGATCCTTGCCTTGAAAGAATTTATCATGTTGCCACTCTCTGCTCACATTATCAAGATAGAATTATATGAGAGAATCTATTATTTCAAGATAATTTCCAATTTGAATATCTATTAGCTTAGATGCAGCTAAAATAAGTAAATGCTTAGAAAAAAACACCTTTGGTTTCACGTATTTGGTAGATAAAGAGCACATTAATAGTAAAATCAAATGGAAGTTTTCAAACTATTTTGATCAAAGAACATCTTAAAGGATAAACAGATTCAAATATCCTGGAGAGACCTTGGAATTGAAAACATTGTTGAAATATTGACAGGAAAATGTTAATTGTATTCATGAAATTTCTTAATATAAAGAATAAAAAAGTGAACTTTAAAAACACTAGAATTAATTAATTAAATGAGAAAGATACTATCTTTCTGACCTTTGACTATGTACATATGTAAATTTGTGTAATTTAGCATATGCTATCCCAGGGGACAGGACTTGAGGGCCTCACACTGGCTTGACTTGCTAGCATTCTGCTACATAAGCCATGTCTCCAGCTTAGCTTTGTGTTGGAGATAGAGTCTCTTGGACTTTTCCTCCATAGCTGGCTTCAAACCTTTATACTCCAAGTCTCAGCCTCTTAAGCAGCTAGGATGAAAGATGTGTGCTTCCTCTGGCAACTGCTTTCCAGTAATATTCTTAACAATTAATGCCTCTCTTCCCCCACGCACACTGATAAAAATCAAAACTGCAATGAATAAAAGCTTAATTTTGTTAAAGGTAAGTTAAAAGAGGAATCATGTGTTTTACTCTTCAAACTTCAATTTGTTCCACAGTTACTCTATATTTGATTTTCTTGTCTCCATTGTCTTTGAAGTTGCTTTATATTTATTTGGTGGGTTGGTTAGAAAATGTAATTTACAGTAATTGTTTTTCTAATTAGCTGGATGCTGGTGTACTATGAGAGCAATAGCTTTCTATTTGTAAATAATGTACAGCCTTGCTCCTAGGAGTGGAGAGATAATTTAAACAAACAAACACAAAATAAGTGATTCTGACCTCATCAAAAGACTTCAAAGGAACCCTGGCTTTGTCAGTTCTCAATTTGAAACTCAAAAGTGTTGAGCAGTCATCTCTGCTTTGTCTCTAGAAATGACTGCATTTAATTACTCTCTGGCTCAACCACTAATGCTGTTTAAAACCTGAATTAACTGTTGACCAATAACACTTTATTATCAGTATAAGGGCTAATATGCTTTAATATTTCATGTAAGGACTGGTTTTGTATTTTTGAGAGTTTATTTCCTACTCAATACCATGTATTTTGCTATTGAAGGATAAATTATGTTTCCTCCTTAGAAGTAGTTAAGAGTTTAAATGGAAAACTTACATGTAATATAATGAAGGAACAAACAAGTGTTAGCATTCCTATGAATTATAACAACTACAATAGCAGCAGCAGTATCTATTAAGGAAGTTCCCATGCTGAACCAGTAACTGGAAGGTATTAGTGAGGTTGAGACAGATGGGAGAGAATGACAGAAGGGTGACATTGATCAAAATGCGATGCATTGCTCTCATAAACTGACATACTGAATTGAAATCCCTCCGTAAAACTGTTTAAAGATAATAATTAAGAGGGAACTCTCTAGCAGTTACAGTTATCTCTGCATGTAAATTTCTTACAATCTTAATGTGACTGGGAACAGTTATTTTCATTTTTCATAGCATGAAATTAGGGTTCGGAGTGATCAGGGTCTTATCAAGTGCAAGTAAGTTCAGAAGCATGAGTATAAAATAGGCGGCAGGGCTGGAGACAGCTTCATGAAGCATTTTCAGTGGGAGAACTCTGGAGTGTGAGAAGGAGATGGACTTGAGACGTAGCCAGGGAGTCAAAGAGAAAGAGCACAGGGCAGGATGAAGGAGAAAGTCAAGGAAGAAGGAAGAAAACAGAGAAGAAAGTCCAGGAAGCAAAGGGCATGACATTCAAGATACGTAGTGAGAGAACAGGCTACAGGAGAGGAAAGGTATTCCTTCTAGAGTGTGAGTCAAGATTCTAGAAGATTTTGAAAGCCAAAGCTTCCAGATAAAGAGGACAAGCCACTGAAAAGTCTTAGAGAGGTACAGTTTAAAAAATAGTTTCATGAGTGAAGAGTGGTCCCTTAGTATCAGAGAAGGCAAGGACCTCAAAGGTTAGAAATAATGCCAGAATTTTAACATAAAAAAATACTGGTAGTGGAAGTTGAGAGAAAAGAATAAACTAAGTAGAAACAAAATATAGGACCAGAATAATTTTGGAAATACACATAACAAGGGGCCAGCAATAATCTCTTGACAGTGTTCACCTGTATCCCAGGAACAAGAAGTAATAAAAACATAAGGATTCCTGTCCTGACCTTGTGACTTGTAACAAGTGATAACCAAAAATAACTGTTTGAGAGTAAGCAACAAAAGCTGAATATAATGGACAAAGGAGAAATAAAGGAAATAATGTGAACGGCCCATATACATGGGCTGTTTCAAGGTCTTGCTTCATCAACCAAAGTGCCCAGTGGTAGGTAAGTAGGTAATAAACATTCAAACACACTTTACTAGCTCTTAAAAATACAAAGTGTCAGTGGTGGCTGGTGGCTCATACCTGTAATCCTACTCAACAGTCTGTAATCTGAGGATTGCAATTTGAAGCCAGCCCAGACAGGGAAAGTCTATAACACTCTTTTTTCTCCAATTAACCAAAATTCTAGATGTGGAAGTATGGCTCAAGTATTGGAGTATCAGCCTTGAGAGAAAAAGCTAAGCAGGAATGTGAGGCCCCAGTTCAAGCCTCAGTACTAGCACCAAAAAGAATCAACAACAAAAACTAATAAATATCCCACAAAGTGTCAGTCTGCCTATTTTATTCACAATTTAATAAGTAATCAAAATCAATTACCAAAACCCTAACTGGTTGCATGAAGAAACAAAAATAGATTAACATCTATTTTTCCAAGAAAAAATTTATCTATTTAATGAACTCCCCAAGTTTTTTGCCACTTAGTTTGATGTCTGAAAGATGAATTTTATGCTGGCATTATATTTTAGGTACCTCATGAACAATTATTAAAAACCAAGTTCTATGTACAATAGGGCAAAAGTACATCTGAACCCTATGCTCTGGGTTTCAAGGACTATTTTTTTTTATCATTTTAAATTATTTCAGAGAGTTTTTTTGGGGGGGAGGGTCAGGTCATAGGGCCTGAACTCTGGGCAGCCTGGGTGCTGTCCCTCAGCTCTTTAGTTCAAGGCTAGCACTCTACCACTTGAGCCACAGCGCCACTTCCGGCTTTTCTCTTTTTGCTTATGTGGTGCTGAGGAATTGAACCCAGGGCCTCATGCATGCAAGGCAAGCGCTCTACCATGAGCCACCTTCCCAGCCCTTCAGAGAGTTTATATGATGAGTTGTTGGTGATATGCACGGTTTATTTGCTACATTTTTGTTTATTAACATGAAATCTATTTGTAACACTTTCCACATGGGGAAAATGTCTCATTCTGTGACAGCCAACTCAATGGCAAGACTTGTGAGTACTGCACTGAAAGTAGCAGCAGCCTCTATTTTGAGCTGAACTTTTATGGGCAGTAGAGAAAATGTTTCAGAATGCCATTCAAATACTTTAGAATAAGCATTTCACATAACTCATCTCATTTCCCCCAAACAAATTTTCAGTTCAATGTTTTAGCAAAACCTGACAGAAACGTTTAGAGGAATATAGAATCAGAAATAAATATAAAAGTACTGTATAGCCAACAAAGAATTAAAATTAACTTCTACATCTTCATTCCCTCTATTGAAGACAGTGTTTAAGAATACAGAGCAGTTGGCAAAGCAATCCTTCCTTCTGTTGTCACTATAAACCTCTTAGACTAAAAGAAATAAAAGTTGCTACTGAAAAAACATAATTGACACAGATGCATCATTTAAAAGTGCTCACCAGGAAGGGGTGCTGCAGCTCAAGTGGTAGAGCGCTCGCCTTGAGCTGAAGAGCTGAGGGACAGCGCCCAGGCCGAGAGTTCAAGCCCCACGGCCGACAAAAAATAAATAAATAAATAAAAGTGCTCACCATCTTCATCTGTCTGCACTATGAGTTCTTGACTTTCCTTCCGGCCCTCAGGATTCATGAGGATGAGCTTCACGCTGACGTTGGTGTAGGGTGACAGGTTAGTGATTGTGTGCTGAGGGTGGGAATTATCTGTATCCCAGCTTACTTCTTCTCTCACTTGCTCTTGTCCTCCAACTTGGTAACAGTAGTGAACGGTGAGGTTGTAACTATGACAACGAGTTACATTGTATCCAAATGGCTCCCACCGGATGGTGATTTGTCGAGATTTGACCTCTACTACTTCCAGCTTTCTGGGGCCACGCATGGGATCTATATATTTTTTTAAGGAAAAGAAGAAACAGAACATAAGAGGAAAAAAACATAAACTATCTGGTGAAGCCCAAATGTCACATATATATCTACTTTTTCCCCAAAACCTAGTCTTCTTTCCTTCTGCAATAATGCTAGGAGGGGTGCGTGTGTGCACGCACGCACACCAGTACTGGGACTTGACTTTCATTCAAAGTTAGCACCACAGCTAACCACCTGTGCCACAGCTCCATTTCCAGCTTTAGGTGATTAACTGAGATAACAGTCTTATGAACTTTCCTGTCTTGGCTGTCTCTGAATAAGCAGCTTCAACTCTCAACCTCCTGTACGATTAGAGTCAAGAGCTACTGGTGCCTGGCACAATCCCTAAATGTTAACTGGTCATAAGGCCACTCAGGATAAAGAAGAAAATTTCTGTTCACTTCTGCACTGGAATGTGTCTATCTGCCCCATTTCTAATGAATGAATAAAATGAAATGTGAAAAACAGTTCTGGGAGATATATAAAAGGAAGAAGTTCACCATTTTTATTTCTTTCTCCTTACTAGTAAAATGGATTGGTGATATCAAGCCGGGAGCTCAGCCATTATGGACCAAGGAGTATGTAAATGTAAAGAATTCAAGACAATAATTAAGCCAGACCTTGGGTCCTATAATCACTGAGTTCCCATGCAAGACAGCCAAGATTTACATTAGGAAGAATAGATGTTATCTTACTTTAGACTCTTTTCCTCAGGGTCTTTGGCACAAGAAACCAATCTTATACATGTTGTGATTTTCAGGATTAATTTATAATTACATATTTAGGGAAAATAAGAGCAGAAGCTAGAGAAATCAGCATAAAACGATATAGTGTTCAGGAAGCACAGATACATGGGCCATCTTCAGTTCTGATTTGCACAAAACACAGGATCAATGCTGAAGTATCTCTTGCCTATTCATAACAATGTCTAGTATTCTACCTTAACTTGTGCTCCAAAAACATTTCCAAGCTTAGAAACCTAAGTGATAAGCATTTTGAGTAGTTCAAATTTAAAATATATAGAGAGGAAGTTTAAGTTTATGAAATAATAAAATATAGAACATCTAAATATATAACATTTACTGAATATTTGCTATGTACCATGTGCTGTTCCAAGAACTTGACTAGGCTCTAAGCTAGCATCCTTATTATACATTTGATAATTTAGAGTTTTGTTTGCCTTTAGTGTGGTTACTGTATATAAATGTACAGAGATCTATAGTTTTATCTAGAGTTGATATGGGAAAATAGAGGAAAAACAGACATTATGTGTGAATTGTGTTACATGTATAAGCTACTTTTCTCCCTCCCAGGAATCCTGTAGATTAGATACTTGTATTCACAATACATTGATGCAAAAATTGTGGCCAAGTCAGGCTTGGTGACTTTACCATGTCAGGTCTGGAATGTGATACTCAGATTTAGAGATAACAAAAACACATAATACCTTGTTACTTCTTCTGTGATCTCTACCAGGACAAAGAAATCAGAAGAAAAGAGCAATGGGATTAAAGATATGTAAACATTAGCAAAGAATAGTAAATGTAATGAAGATACAATGTATTTAGTTTGGAGTCAAAGCTGTTGGAGAGAATTCTCCTTTCTCCCTTCAATTTATTTGAGCCAAGATATGAGTCATTGTCCTCAGCCCAGTCTGTACTGTAGAGAAGTGAAAATGTGTCTGGACTATTGTTGGAAGTTACTTTTCTTATTTCAATGAGTCTCTAAAACAAATATGAAACGAGAAGTTTTAAACCCCAGAATCAAACTCTAGGAGAACCACATCAGTCTAGCAACTTGCACCTATATGACAAATAAAAAGATATCAGGAAAGTTAGAGGAAGATTTACTATATTACGGTCAATGGAAGACAGGACTTTGGGGGTAGGTGTAAAACACATTTTTATCTTAGGTGACATAGGAAGAATTGAAGGCAAGTAGTGAGTAGGTATGTACAGTTCAAACAGATCCAGGATACAGGTATGTTAGGTGGTAGCGTCAGGTGCTCTGGCAGTCTACTGTCAAAAGAATGTTCAAACAGGGCCTTGGGACAATGAGAGGTCTTGAAATGTGGCAGGCAACCAGATCATTCCTGGATTCCAAAAGGGCAGCAAAGTACTGCAGGAGAGAATAGCTGAGGACCAAGGATATAGACACAAAATGGAGCGGTCTGGGAAACCTTTAGTTTGCTTAATTTGTGAGCCCTGTAAGTTTGCCTGGATACTTCTCTTTCTACCTGCTAGAAGTGGGATTGTTTAGCAGCCTTAAACTTTCTAGTAACATATTTTGTGTCTTTTGTTGGAATTTAGGGATTAAGTATTTCTTTTCCTAGCTTGGACAAATAGTAACATTACTAAATTAAGCAAATTTGCTTAATTTGTGAGCCCAAGTAAGTAGTCAAGGGGATGGGAGGAGCATTAAGTTGAGTCCTAATACAATTACTTGTAACAGTTTAGGACTCAGAAAATTCAGAACCACACCAAAGGGAGAAAATGTTTAAAATGAAACAATGGCTTGATCTTATGTGTGTGAGTTACAATTGGCCTGTTAGAAATTTGGTCCAATTAGAAAATAAGGTAATAAAGACTATTTATGCTACTCTTAGACAAAGTTAGGATAAGGATGAGTGAGACAAACTGTCCCCAAGGAATCAAATGTGACATGCTAATAGAATTGTAGTTATTACTAATAAGTTAGCAGAAAAGCTGACAGGGGAAACTGTGGCCACTATAGCTTGCAGATAAGCAGAGAAGGATAAAGATAAACTGATAAACCAAAATCTTCCTGACAAAAAAATGAGAGCAGAAGTACAAAGGAATGAGGAAATAAGAAGGATAAAAAATGAGGAAATAAATATGAGAGTAAATAGTTGGGGTCATAATTTTACAGGAAACAGAAAGGAGATATACCCATTAGTAAACCCTCCAATTCTCATATTTAACCTGAAGTCCAGCTGTGAAAAAGGAAGATGGCTGAAGGACCAAAATGATAGTCTTATTTCAGTTCGATCTTCATTATGTTTCTATCTTGCCTGGATTCTTCTCTTTCTACCTGCGAGAAGTGGGGTTGTTTAGCAGCCTTAAACTTTCTAGTAACATATTTTGTGTCTTTTGTGGGAATTTAGGGATTAAGTATTTCTTTTCCTAGCTTGGACTCAACAAATACTAGCATCACTAAATTAATTCTTCATATGTAAATTACTAGTGTTAGGGAAATATCACAAGTCAGCTATTTAGAAATTATACTCAAGATTTATTTCCACATTAGGAATTTACAGTTTAAAGAAAATGTCTAATTTTATTTAATGCTTCATTAGTTGAACGTTTATACAAACTTTTAATAAGCTTCAGATATCTTATAGGTAAACAGATTAGCACATGTTTCCTTCTCCTTTTTTCCTTATTAATCACAGGTTTCCACAAGGACTGTTCTGCAGCATTTCCCCAAGTATTTCATCAATTTTCCCTACTAATAAAATGACTAAACACTTCTGAAATTAGTTTAAACAAGTAGAACTACTCTAACTTAATTTCCATAGAAAACTACTATTTTCTGCATAAATTAGTTTGCATCATTTCAGCATTTTTTAGCCAAGAAAATACACACTTAACTCTTTAGAAAAGCAAAGTCATGCTGAGAAGAAGGCAGTGAAGCAATAGGGAATCACCCTAGCTCTCTCTAATCAAACAGAAATTTAGGGCTCTAACATGCACTTCACACCAAGAGATCAACGAGAAGAAACATAAAAACAGATAGCAAATCAGAAGAATGAAGAACTTCTACTTAACACACACAAGGATGGAAAACCATGAAGTGCCTTCCTACCACTCCCCATCCCACACCAACAACTCAATTAAACCATGAGAGCAGCTCAGACAATGACACACATCAGGATCATGAGACCACTGCACCCAGATGCAGAAAACCTTTACAATGCTGCCAGTCAGCTCAAAACAAATGCCAGGAACTGTGACTACCCCACCAGGTACCCCTCCCATGGGAGACAAGCATTGGTGATGATCCAGGGTGCTTGGCCCCACCCTCACACCTGAGAAAGAACCCCATATTTGAAAAGGGCAAAGAGGCAAGAGCCCTTCCACATCTCCCTGTGTGCTTTCAAAGGAAGGCCACCAGCACCAATAGTGGTGAGGCAATGGAATTCTGTATCCTCTGTGGCCCTGGCTGCCAACAGAAAACCTGATTTCCTAAAAGACAGTGGGAACAATCTCTCCACGATTATCAATGACAGATGGAAATCTGCTCTTTCCAATGCTTATTCTTACCCTAGAGATCTGAAACCAGCCCTTGTACCTCCTACCCTTGACTGGGACTGAGCAAGAATAAGTCCACCAAGTGCCTGCCAGTCCAGGGCTCCAGCTCCTCACTCCATGGAAAGTAGACTCCATTTCAGGACCAAGAAGAAACCAGTCCAGGATTCCAGTGGGGACAATCTCAACACAACCCTGTGGGAACCCACTCCCTGTCAGACCCATGCCTGTCCCAATTCAGGATTTGGGCAGGGACAACCTCCCATTAATGCAGAGGAGAAACTTGTGCCCTTCTCCTCAGGGCTCAAATGAGAATCAGGTGTAGGAATGTGGTTCTGGCTCCCCCAAGAAACAGATGCCAGTCCAGGGCTCTGGTCCGAATGAGCTCTCCACTATGAGTGACTGGAATCGGCCTACCCCTAATACAGAACCTGGCCAAAACACTGGACTGATGTGTTCTACTTTACATGAACTGGCCTGAAAGCCTAAATCTAGGCAAGGACACCAGACTTGCCTGCATACCACAGATCCTAACAACTAAACAAGATATATTATACTTTTGGCACCACCCAGAGCTGAAGGTTGCTAAACACAATCACACTCTACCACTGACTTCACCACAACCTGAATGACCTTGACAATCCCTAAATCCAAATGCATAAATCATGATAAAAGATTACAAAATTCCCGAACAAATAAAACAACCAACGA